GTATCCTTCGGCGTCGTTCGAGTTGAGAATTCCCAATGTGGTACCACCTGCTTGTAAGCTGATAGTATAACTGCATGTCGTCATCCCGCAGCGGCTTCGAGCGTATGTGGAAGTTCTTCAGCCCTAGACATAGACGAAATATGGGTCATAATTAATCTCGGACCACTTCCATTTCGACCCTAACACATTCCACAGCCCGCATGAACGTCCGAAATAGTTCTCTACCAAAATGCAGTCACTAGATATAAACTTGTTTGTCGAAATATCCGCGGGAGACAAAAACGAGCCTTGTGGTTTGCGCTTGGGATGAATAATTCTACAAAACTCCCCAGCGCCTTGATAGCCTTTATCGGCTAGCACTGCCCACTGATTCAGGTACCTCTCTGCAAGCGGGCCGTTGTCCGCAATGTCCATTTCATCACTTCTTTTGCGCTGGGTGCGGCGATGAGACCACTGCATTTCCTGGAAAATGACGAGATCGGAAACGGACCCGGGCTCGTGCATGCTCGAACCGACAGCGAAACCATTTGGGGTAACTGAGACTTCAACCTTGTATCCATACAACTTGTGTTTACCACTGTAATACCACTTTCCCTCCTTGACACTGCCCGACGGCCTGAAGGCAGGCTGGAACGTCACATCCGTGGCGTACCTTGCCATGGGATAATTTTTAAACACATACCCATTTGCCTGCAGTTCTTTCATGGTCCATCTCTTCGTCTGGTTTGAGACGTAGTGCTCATATAAAGGTTCGGACAAGAGCTGTATAAACCGAAGCACTATTCGCTCAAACGCGGACGTTTTCTGCCCAAACATCCTCGCCAAAAAATCCCACGTATCCCCGTGCTTGAGAACCGCCAGTACCATAAACAGCACGTCTTTAGGCTTCTGCGCGCATTTGCGCCCACGACCGACGTTGTAGTTTGCAAGGACCAACGCCTCAAACCCAGCCCAAATGCCGATGAATTGGGCCGGGTTGAAGTTGGTCATCTCCACAATGGCCTTCGCACCCCCCTCATCGTAGAAACGGTCAAATATCGGCGCATCGGTCCCATTATCCTCATCACTGTTCTCTGGGCCCTCGTACTCGAACGCTTCGAGCTCATTACGGCGATCAATTGACGCATTGGCGAGGACTTGCAGGGCTTGTGCTGCATCGTGAGATGAGAAGCAGGCCATAGTGCAGTGTGCGATAATGATAGAAAATGGCAGGCGAGAGGGGCACGCGGCGGAGGAAGCGGGGGTGGGGCAAGAGGGGTAAAAGTGGCAGAGCAGATGGAGAGAAACTAGTGCAGAGTGGGAGAGAGACGATGGGGGACAGGGAGATAGAATGGGAAGGAGTGGAAGTGGGCGTGGAGTTGTGTAGGTATAAAGGTGGCGTGTGTGGGATTGGAGTGGCAAGGTGGGGAAGTGGGGCTTGACACTGTAGGTGTAGAAGGCGGAGCGGAAGGGGGTGGGATGAGGGCGGGAAGAACCAGTTCTGAATTTTTGAAAGGCGTTGACCTCTGTCATTACGATGTGGCCCGGTCTTTTATCAAATGAACTGGGCGTTATAGGTTGAGATGCCGCTCTTTCACATTCAATCGAAGTCCAGGAATTGACCACGTATTAGCGATTCGCCGGTTTCTTGTCGAAAAGGTCGACCATATTTACAGTTAGTGTGTGATTTATTTATTAATTTGTGATATGTCAAAAATAGTTGTCTTCTCAGTACACCAATCACCGCAGTTAGAATGGGCCAAGTTAATTTAGAACTGCTCATACAGAACCTCTGAACCCAATATATCGTGGCCCAAAACAAATCTGCACCTAGATTAATATAGTGTATGGCGCAAATAAAGAAGGCCAAGTCAATTTTGTATGTACTATTTTACCATGGGTTCACCCGCGTGGGCAGCGCGGCACACGTCTTTTTGGCCAAGCCCTGCTTCCTCCGCCAACCCCCTACCACCCCCCGCGCGCCTGCTCCCCAACTCCTATGTCCCGCTCGTTGCCCTCCACCCTCCTCCTCCTCCCGCTCCTCCTGTGTCTCTCCTCCGCCACCGCGCTCCACTTCCTCTCCCGCTCCGGGGCGGAGGCTGCAACCTTGCACCTGATTTAAAGCAGCAAGAAGAAACGTTATTCGCTCTCGGACTCTGTTTCAACATCCGCACTGTCAATAAAAACAGGCTCTCCCTCAAAATGGACTCTATGCTTCGCGATAATCTGCTGTAAATCTTCAGTGAGCTGACCTTCCTCCCACAGTCCATTCACATTTAAAGACATGCCTGTCCTTATCATTGCTTTCCTTGCATAAGAAACACCTTTCTTGTCCCTCATTGCGTTAACTTCCCTTACAGAATCGGCGCCCAGTCTCAAAAAACCCCTTTTTCAGGATTTAGAAGCTTTCCACTGCCCTTTCCATTGCTGGTATTCTTCCAGAGTCCTTTCTGTATGCATTGGTATTTATATTTATCCCACTGCCTTCTCTAAACTTCTTTAATCTTCTGAATTATGAACGAGTCGGCGGGCTGAGTTAAATGTGTTGAATTTGGAGGCAGCTTCTGCATCGTGGTCTTTATCTCGCGTAGAAATCCAGCAGCATGTGGTCCTGCCGAGTGCAACGAACAATTATCCACATACAAGACTCTTTGTCGATCACTCGGAAGTGCTGAGATGGCGCGTGGTTCGCAGAGCCAATCATGCCACACTAGGCCATCCATCCATCCTTTAGGTGACGAACGGTAGCACACGCCGGGTACGTCATCCGGCTCACCACGAATAGGATGCGAGCGATTCTGATTTTTAAATATTATCATAGGCGGATAAATTTGTGCCTGGCGTCCGCCTGAAAGGCGAACCATCATCGTTATTGGATCACCCTCCGAGACCACGTCGGCAAATTTGACATGTTTGTCACCAACGAACCCTAGTGTCTTTCCGTTGTCCATATTAAAAACGAAGTGCGTCTCATCTGCGTTTTCAATATTGTCCTCGTTTAGCAACCCTGATTCAAATCCGCGATGGAGCTTTCCCATGTGATAAGCGACTGTCTTCTCTAGCAGAAGTTCTTTTTCTGGACTCAGCAATTGTTTTCCGGTCTGTCTGCGAACAACAATGTTTTTAGCACGCATAAAGTGTTGTATCCAGCGAATGGTAATCTTGTTCTCCAGTAGAACACCATTTTGATGAAGCGACTTGTGATACGGGGATCCTACCGCGGCTTCAGCTATCATCATAACAGCGTGATCACGAAGAACAGAAGCACTGAACTTGATACCAGCAGATCTGAGCCGCTCGAACTCCGATCCTAAGTCCCTAAACAGAACACGTACCCAATTGGCTCTCTTTCTCCCACGTCCCTTTTGTGCTTTGAACTGCGCTCAGCGAATGCCTCCTCTCGTGAGTGAAGAGATGTTGCCTCCTCTTTTACCCTCGCTTTTGAGAGCCATGGTTTCGTCTCGAAGCTTCCACCATCTACTTGCTTTTGCCAATTTTGCCTTGTCGTTTCCTGCAAATAATTCTGGCAACCGTCGGACGCATTTTGAAATGATATGCCGTGGGCCACTCTCAGCAGCCTCTGCTATCATTCAAGAAGTTGCGTGATATCGTTGCGCGAGGGTACTAACGAGGATGTTGCGACGAACTGAGTTGTGGGGCTGTGCGGGATAATTGTCAGTAATATGCAACTGGGTTGAAGGTTTATCGGTGCTAAGAGGGGGTTGCGCCTTGTTGTGGGACGAGACGCGAGCGCGCGAGCAAGAGAGCGCTGAATAGGGCCGCTCAGGTGTGAAGGCATTGCGGGAGTTGTCGGGGACTAGATCAGGGCGAGGCGGGACCGCCGTCGTGTTGCGTACAGTAGTTCTTCATTTTTCCCAGTCCGTTCAACCCGATACTGTAAACGGCTTTTTGACACCCTCAGTCATAAAATAACATGGGCTATTTTATTTTCGCACCCAGCCTAAATTAGTCACCCAATCTAATTGCGGTGATTGGGTGTAGTTATTTGGCTCTTTGGGCTGTCCGAGAGAATTTGCGTGAATGGTCTACTGAAAAGCAATCCCAAATCCCAATATTTACTCATTTACCTTCGACAGGTACCACTAGAAGGGTAAAGCTTTAGCGCAAGTCCGGTACTAACGGGGGAAACTGTACAGTACGTACTGTACCAACGGTACTGTAACGCTTTCTGAGCGTACAGTATTTTGCGACCGCGCCTTCGGCTACCCCGCGCGTCGTTTCGTCTGCGACGTGCCGCCAACCTCCACGCGGGCTGCGACTCCGCGACAACTACCCCGCCATTGCGCTCCCCTTCGTTTTGATAGGGCCCGGCACCCTTCTCCGCCCCCATCTGCCCCCTTCCCCCCCCTACTATCAACAAGAAACAACCACTTCG